TTTTTTTTAATAAAATAAAGTTATTGCTAGCACCTGCAGACGGCCGCCACTCCCTGCTCGCTGGTCACGTTCTCCTGGTAGTTGTCCATGCTCTCCCCCAGCTCCAGGACGCACTCAGAAAAGTCGCGGTAAACGTTCTCACAGCTCACATCTACGCTGCCTGCAGGCGCCGCGAGGAGCAGGAAAACTGCAAAACAGAGCAGAGACAGAACCTGTCAGGTCTGGATAAATATACCCTACAATCTGACACATTTAAATATAGAAACCACTAAGTGCGTGCACAGTCTCAAAGAAGCTATTTGTAATGTTTTACCCCAAATTAGACTAACGATGCAATTTACTAAGATTTTATGATGTAGATTATAAAATGATGAATCATTTTGCAGAGAAATGAACAGGATTTTCACTTATTTTTCTAAAAAAAAAAAGTGAGCCCATTTTGCCTTGATAACCCTAAATAAAATCCAGTGCAACCCATTTCCTGTAGCTCTTTTCTCAAGATGGTTTGCAAGAGTTTTGCCAGAGATCATTAGTGAAAAGTCACCAAAATCAAAGGAGACAGCAGAAAAAGGTCAAAGTTTTGGAGAAGTTTAAACGTTTGAGCAGGTTTGGACGTCACTCTTCCACTTGTTAATAAATTACTTTAAAAGTTATAGGTGTGGGTGCAGATTTGGCTGCCCTGGGACAAACTTGGAAACTGTGGGTGAGTCACGCTTTGAGTGAAGATACAGCAGCAGGTCTGTGTGAAAAGTAAAGGAGGGCTTTATTTAAAACTGGGAAGGCGATAAAATAAATTTGGAAGACAAGTATTTGACAACAATAATAGGGAAAAAAAGGCAATATATGGACTCCAGTTACAGAGAAATGGATTAGGAATGGAGAGAGAAAAAGGGAAAAAAAGAAGCTGGGTTAGATTGGGAACTGCAGAGCTAATGCGCTAGTGTTTGTTTTTTGAAGACTGAGCATAACGCGAGCAAAAACTTGAAGAGGGATGTCATTTAATCTGTAAAAGATATGAAAAGGGTGAAATAAACAGAAGTAGTTGACGGACATGACTACATTTTAAAGTTTGAACAGCGCTTCCAGCTGGAAGGATCTGGAAGCAGTTAGCCATGAAAGAGCGCAAAGTTTTGTGCGCTTTCATTTCATTCATTTTTGCCCCATTTTTGTCAATGGGGCTTAAGGTGATCACAAAGAGCTGAATATTTTATAAACCGTAGACGATATTAACATTTAGACATTGATGTCCTGAGTGAGGACAATATGGTAAAAGCTGGATGGTTGAAATAGCAGAAAGTAAAAATCTGTACTTGGAGATGCCTGCAGCGTTTACACTAACTAAATCCAGTGTGACTGAAAGCTAACACTGCACTAAAGCCTGAGCAAACATGGCAGCATCATGGCCTGGGGATGCGTTTCTTCAGCTGAAAAACTAACTATAAATTTCATTTAGAATTTTCCATCCACTTCCCAAGCATTGCTTAATATTAGTAGCCCCACCTCTTTATATATATATATTTGAAGAATATTTATATATATATATGTGACGAAATGTGTGAAAGTTTCAGAGGTGTGAATACTTCTACGAGGCGTGGTCTCATTCGAGGGAGTCTGAAAACAATGAAGTAAAATGCACACCATACAGGTTGGATATTTCCTCAGTAGTGGAGTATAGCTTCATTATTTACCGCTCTGCTGAATGCAAAACAAATGCTAAGCGCACGGATATCAACAAAAGTGGCACAGGAGTTAAACTATGTTTCTATTTAAATATTAAGCTATGAATGTTGTGCAGATTGTACCGGAGCCAGTTGGAGACGGTGCAGGTCTCATATCAGTGCTCAGATAAAGATAACACCCACCCAGCCAACAAAGGGATGCGATGCACGGAGATAAAAATAAATTAAGACTATTAATAGCTACCTTTATCTGGACAAATAAAACCAGCATCTTGCGCTACTTTACCAGAGGCGATCGCAAGAATCCATCCGATCTTCGTCGACATGAATAATCCCATTTCATCCCATTTCAAGCGAGGCGGGATGCGATCGAGACTCTCCTGGGATGAGGAGGAATCGCTGGTTCTGGTGCACGGAGCAGATTAGCTGCCCATGCTTATTTTAGTATCGAGTCTCGATACTAAAATAAAATCTCATGAAGTGTGCAGCTCCAGCACAGTTTCTCTCTCTTTCCGACAGCTGACGTTACCTGCCCCCCGGGCGGCGCTGAGCTCATCCCGCTGCCCCCCCTCAGCTCCGGACAGCTCCCACCTACCGGAGCCGCTCCAGCCTCCTCTGAACAAGCTGTGAGTCATTACCTTCAATTTGTTTATCTGCTTAACTCTTTCACACCCCGGTTTTAATTAGCAGGCTCCGTTCAAAGAGCAGGGTTAATAGGGCGTGTTGGATGATGATGAAATGTCCGTCCCATTGAACTTTTCCCACATTTATCAAATTACTGTCATAAACTCCAAAGAGGCATTTTTGACCTGAGTCCAGTTTAGAGTCCCAAATATTAGCTGACATTTTGAAGAGAGGCATTTTATATTATTCTTGTCCAATTTTCAAAAATCAACTATTTTATTCTTTTTTTTTTAGGTTTTAATATTATCACTTTCCTAAAATAATTATTTCTCTTTTTTTTTGTCGAAAGTGATTTTTCTTTTTTTGTCTACACCATCTTTTGGTAAAAAAAAAACATATATATATATATATATATATATATATATATATATATATATATATATATATATATATATATGTGTGTGTGTGTGTGTTTTTATCCACACTATAATAATTTTTAAAACATCCAATTTTATGGCTTAATTTATGTTCTACAAATAAAAATCACATATTTATGACGTCAATTTTAATACTTGGTGGAAACACGTGTTGCTGCAAATACAGCTGCAGGTCCATTAGGGTGTTTCTATCTAAGATATTTAACATTTTTTGTATATTTTTTCTTTCTAATAGCACAAACTCAGCCAGATTAAGTCTTGGTGCTAAAGATCCTCCATTGGATGTAGGTTTGGACTTTGACTAGGTCATTCCAATGCAGAAATATGCTTTGATCCAAGCGTAATGCTGGCTGTGTGAGGTCATTGTTCTGCTGTGAGGTGAAAGTTAGTCTCATTCCTGGGGTTTTTGCAGCTTCCAACAGATTTCCTTCTGGATTATCTTTCTACCATCTCCCCCTGTAATCTGATCAGATTACAGTTCTCCAATAGACACTCAAAGCTTGAGTTCTTATTTTATGACCAAATGCTCATAACCAAACAAATACTAGCAGCTATTAACTGGGAAAAAGTCACGATTCCACCTGTTTCAACACCAGTACAACTGGATGAATGTTTTCTCTCTGTACTGATAAATGTAAATGTTTTAAAGTATTCATCATGTTGTCCTAGTTCTGGAAAACCAAATACGTTTACTCAGTTTTGATACTTCTCCAGATTTGGAAACTTTTTGTGCCTCTTTGATCTTTAAAAAAGAAATGTTGAACTGGATATCTTCTGCACAATTAGGGTAAGCGGAATTATACACCAAACAAACATTTGTGTACTGCAAAATATACTACATAAACACAAGCAAATGAAATAGCAGTGTCATAAAATACTGTGATAAAGTTTCCAAGAAAGACAGAAACAGGAAAAACACCTTCTTTGTTCTTTTATTGCTTTTTCAAAAGGCGGTATTATAAAAATGATAGCAGACAACCTGAGAGCTACGGTGGCGCTGCGTGACGAGGCTGAAATGCTGAAGGAGCCTCCATCTTCGAGGGGGAGAAAATAAAAAACAGGTAAACAAGGAAACGCTGGGAGAAGACTGTCATAGGACATGCAGCTGCCGTTATTACTCTCTTAAAGAAACATCTAAAAACAAAAGTCCCCGTGTCACAGTGTTAAAACCAGATGGACACGTTGGTGTTTGCCATTCACTCTTTGCAGGGCAGCAAAGTCAGGGTGTAAACAAGGCACAGAGGCGCTGGATTGACAGAAACTCAATCTACAAATTCAATACTTCTGGTTTCAAGTCAGTTTATCTGATCCTGATTAAACCTCCACATTCAGCTCAGGCGTTGCAGCATCCATATGGCGGTTTGCACATTTCACTGCTTAAACCATGATTTTACAAAAATGCAGCTTTAAAAATTAGTTAAATGTCCTGTTGGTGTTTAAATGGCCGCGCTCTGATGAGAGCCGGTCTATAGGCTTCAGACTGTCGATCCTTAGTGAATGAGAACGTGGATTTTACCCAGTTTGACCAGTCGGGCTTACTGGTCGACCCCGGCTGCCCTTTTGGTTCGTTTCCGTGGAGATGTTTTCGGCGAAGGTTCTGCAAAAATGTATGAAGAATGAGATTTTTTTTTTTAATCAGCAAAAAACTACAAGAAAACTAATATAACATAGTTGAAACTGGGGTTCTTATTATGTCTATAATAAGATGCAACATACTCATGGCGTTTAGAGTCTCCTGAGGAATCCAGCTGATGTCCACGTCGTTCACTCCAGTCGTGCCCTTCTCTATTTTCACAGGAAGCCGTTTCCTCTGCAGAGAACAAAACCACAGATGACACTCATTAGAAAAAGGCCCTGCAGAAGTATAAACACCCGCTGAAGTTCAGTACGTTTAGTTGGGATCGATGTAGTGCAGGATCAGATCGTGGCGAGGAAGAAGAATCCCAGTGTCGAGCTTTTTTTTTTCAAATGAAAACCAGGAAATTGTTGCTTTCAGCTGTTTGTTTTGTTTCTCAGAAAGAGTAGATTTAAAGATGGACGGAGCTGAATAAAGAGTAGGAACTAAAGCATGAAAATACTTTAGACTGAGGTAGAAGTTCCTGTTGAGGATACTCCGAAAACACTTGCATCTGTAGTTGCAGTAAAATGTTGCTCTTCAAAGTATTCGGAGGGGCTAAATAAAAGTGCAAGCCTCACTTTTCAGACTTTCATTAGTAAAAAAAAGAAACACAAAGAACAAGCATCCTTGTCCATCCACCTCACAATAAGGCGCTACTTTGTTAGTCTATCACATTAAATCTAAAAAACAAACAAACAAAAAAAAAAAACCTCTGAGGTTTGTGGGTTTAAATAAAAAAAAACTGTTCAAGGAACATCATCATTTTTGCAAGGCGCTAAGTTTTATAAATAATCTCACCACAAGTTTTAGAAGAAATGCAGACACAATGTAGCTTTTGTAGTCACTGACGTCTTACACATCTATTTATTGCATTTCCCAACATAAAGGGAAGCTGACTTCCTCATCCCATCTACTTCAGTCTATCAAGTTCATGTGTCGACGCATTCACACAACAAAATAGTCCAAGTTACTGAGGAAACGCATACCGTTCTGCTCTCCAGAACCTGATACATCCCAAAGAGTAGCAGGACCACCAGCCCACCCAGGAACACGTACATGAACATCCTGCAAACACAAAAAAAATCATTTCTTTACCTGATGAATTACAGGCACACTGTAATTAAAAAGAGCATTAAGGAGCGTGTTGTTGTTCCGTAGACAACCCACAGAACAAACTGTATTTTTTTTCCAGTGAGATTTGAGGAAGGTGAGATTTATTTGCTCATCTTATTTCCCACAGACAGTTTGTGCATCGTGTAGCAGCAGCTCAACACACACGTCTCGTTCCTTTGTGTCATTTTCACACCTTTTTGACGGGTTGTTACAAGCTTTTTAATATTCTGGGGGAGCTGATGCTGTGAATAAGAGCTGAAAGGACAAATAAGGGGAAGCTTGCAAAACTAATGTGACTATGAATAATTTACACAGAACTGAGTTGCATAAACTGGTTTAATCGCTCTAATTTCTCCACTAATGAGCTTGCAGTACTTTCAGAGTAATGCATTTGCTTGTTGTCTTCCTTGTATTTCTGCACTTTGCAAACTTTGCAGCAGCAGGAGAGAACGCGCCTTATCTACGTGTTCGTATCTGTAAGTATGTCAGTGACAGGATATGACTGACATGTCAGCCAAAGGCCTTACGTTTCTCCATCCAGTCCGTCTTCTCGCTCCGTTATGGTGACAGTCTGGTTGTAAATGGCCGACTGGAACGTGTTGCCCTAAATAAAAAAAAAAGGTTAGAGAGGAAATGCGTGTCTGGTTTGATTGCCATCAGTTCACAAACACATCAGAGAAAAAAAAAAGGATTTGAAAAACTACTCTTAATGTCATCTTAAACCATTTAGACATTATTTGTACTTCATTTCTACATTTCTTTATAGAAAGAGGCCAAAAATGCCAATGAAAAAAAGAGCTTTTCCAAGTAAATAAGTTTATATGTGATACTTTAAATGAAAGTGTAATGAATGCATTAATTTAATTGATAATATTTAATGCATAATCAAACATATAATGTAATCCACAATTCAATTTGTAAATAAAATGACTTTCGCATCACTAAAGGCATATTAAGTATTTCTTGTCCAAGTACCAATCTCAAAATAATATCAGTCATCTCTACAGCTCATCGTTATTGGTCATATTTGTCATAATTTTATGAATAATCTTAACATTTAAAGATTTAATTTTGTATTTATAGCTTAATTTATAGCTTCACTTATGCATTTCTTCTTTAAATTGAATAATCACATAGATATGTGTTTATTTACATACTTATTGCAGCTTATTTCCAAATCTTGAGCTGTTTGTTCTGCTAGAACAAGAAACAATTTTCCCCTCACCTCATGATCCACGTAGTTGAGGAGGATGACGAGACCAAAGGGCCGTCCGGCCATGGGCTGAGCCGGGATAAACGAGTACTCGAAGGAGGCCTGGGCCTGGGGCTGGACGGCCGTGTTCAGGGGCAACGCTGTGAACTGCAGACACACACAGGATTAGGCAAACCTACAGGAAAAAGGTCAACTAGAAGATCCGTAAAAGGTAAACGGAATATATTTAGTTCTGTTGTTTGTTTATAAAAATCTCTGGCAGATATTTTAGATGTCGAGGTGAATAAATACGTGTATAATGTGCGATGATGATAGGCGCAGACGTCTCTTACATTCTGAATGTAGAACTGGAAATCTTGTGGATAACGGAAAGAAGCCTCCAGCGACTGAACCGTGAAAGTCTGACCTCCTTTATTGGTGAAACCCACAAGGAACCTCACAATTTCATTGGCTGGAAACTCTGAACACGTGAAAAATACCAAACAGCTACATTTACCAACCGGTTTCATC